GCCGAAAGTCTATGCTCTAGCTTGCCTTGTTCACGGTGAGGACGTTCTGTCTCGACGGGGAGGGGTTATCGCAATAAATGCTGTAAGGGGCTTCATTAATGGTTGATGTGCAGTGCAATAACTTTGCAGGATCTTTGTCTGCTTATATAGCTTGTCCTTCTCTTGCCACGTATTTAGATGTCATTGGTTCTTAATGCCATGTTGAGCTTCAGTAACGTTGGGCTTTAGTATTTGAATTATGTATTGGGCCCTAAGTGGTAGGCTATAACCTTTATGGGCTTACCTATGTCAATTGGTATTGGAAAATTTAAGACTTGGTATTGGAAAATATAAAATATAATGGCAAATTCAAGTACTATTTATCTATATATATCTATAAATAGACAGGCTTTGCCATCCTACATGAATCACCCTCTTTTTAAGCAATTGCAATTAGGCATAAAAATTTCAATTTGCTTCAATTAAAATGGGCACTCACTTTATCTCTGTAACCATAGCCATCATGGCCTTGGCTTCTACACTTGCCTCTGCTTCTGATTCTAGTCCTCTTCAAGATTTTTGTGTCGCTGTCAATGACTCCAAAACTGCTAGTATGCTTATCTCTTTCTCCTAATTTTGTGTCTTCCAAACTCAAGTCCCAAACTTTGAAATTTGATTTTAATTACATAACTTATTTAATGCAATTGCATTTTTTATGATAATTAAAACTTCCACTTCTTCATGGAAGTCAAAAGAGTCCATCTGAGCTTTTCATTTTCAAGTGATATACTGAATGACTAGTTAGACTTTTGGTAGAGAAAGTATGTTTTTTGTGTCATTTTTGTTATTAGTATTTTAATTTTTTCAAAAAAAAATTCTGAAGTATTAGATGTGTATGAAAGTTGTCTCCCTAACTAATGTTGTTAGCATTCATCTTCAGAATAAGTATCATTTTTTAAACAAAAAATCACACGTTTAATCCTTAAATTATATACATTGTTTCATTTCGATCCCTAATTGTTTAAGTTTGATCGATCCCTAATTTTTATTATCTTAGATGTCATCATGTAACATTATTGAAAGACTGTTATTAGTTTGCATAACATTTTATTTCTTTCACCCCATTCTTAGTAAAAACAAATTTCCATTTCCTTTGCATGCACTGTTTGTGAATGGCAAGGTTTGCAAGGACCCAAAGCTCGCCAAAGCCAAGGACTTCTTTTTTTCAGCCTTTTTACTCCTCGAAAAACATCGAACCCAGTTGGGTCTACGGTCACTCCTGTAAATGTCATACAAATACCAGGCGTCAATACTCTCGGTCTCTCCTTAGCTCTCGTCGACTTTGCACCTTATGGCCTTAATCCACCCCACACGCACCCTCGTGCAACTGAGATATTGGTGGTCTTGGAAGGTAGTCTCTATGTCGGTTTCGTCGGCTCTAATCCAGAAAAAATCGCCTGTTCACCAAAATCCTTTATCCAGGTGATGTTTTTGTGTTCCCAAAGGGTTTCATTCGCTTCTAATTTAATGAGGGAAAGACTAATGCAGTGGCTAGTTCTGGTCTGAGTAGCCAAAACCCCGGTGTCATTACCGTTGCTAATGCAGTGCTTGGGTCGAATCCAAAGATTTCTGATGATGTTCTTGCCAAGGCATTCCAAGTAGACAAGAAAGTGGTAGACAATCTTCAAGCTCAATTCTGGTGGCCCAATAACTAGAGAAACAAACACACAAATATCAACAAATTTATTAAACAAATATAATTTCACATATCACAAATAAATGGTTGGTTATGGACGATATCCTTACAATTGTTTTCTTGTAATACAATAATAATTAAGTTTGTTAAAGGGTGAATTACACAAACCAAGAAGTGGCAGGCCAAATAGCAAGAAGTAGCAGGCCAAATAGCAACAGCCCAAACTCACCAAATAACGGCAGCCCAAAATGCCACCCACTATATCATAAACAACCTCTATAGCAAACACCAAAACAACAGATGCCAGTTGAACATACCAAAAATAGACCAGATAGCAACATAACAGAAAATAGACCAAATACCAACAAGTATCCCTCAACAGTAGTCCTTTATCTAATCCACATTATTGATTAAATCCAAGATAGAGTACATGAATCCCTTTGCAGGAGCTTTTACCCATAGAGCAAATCTCAACTTAATAAGCTCACATAACTCAGACCCACTAGGCTGCACTCCATTAAATAGACAATCATTTCTTAACTTTCAAATGAACCAAAGAATAGAAGGTAAGGCCCTCCATAAACTCCTAACCAATTTCTTATGATTCCAACCTAACCACCAATGAAATAAACAATCAATATACCTTGGCACCACCCAAAAACACCCCCACCAGAGCAGCAAATCTGACCGTACTTTCCATGAAAACGGACAATGTAAAAGGACATGAGGGGCATATTCATTTTTAGTTTTGTAGAAGACACATAAGATAGAAGCACTGTTATGAAGGACACCAATATGTTGTAGGAGATCCCCTGTTTTAACTCTATTTCTCCATGCCAACCAACCAAAGAATTGAACTTTGGCGGGAATGCTCTTTTTCCAAACAAACTTGCAAATTTTGAGATGAGGGCCCAAAAGAGAATCAGTGAACCTATAAATATCAGAAACCTTAAAGTTGTCATCAATAGAACCCTTCCACATAGCACAGTCTTCTACAACAATACTAAGTAAAGGGGCCTCCCTCAACCCCGTAGCCAAACTAGTGACCTGTACCTTCTCCCAATCATATAAATCCCTTTTGAAAGAGAAGTTCCACTCCTCTAAATTGGATTTCCCCGTAGAAAAAAAAGGACAACGTGCCCTCCTTGTCATTAGACAAACTAAAGAGTCTAGGGTATTTATCTTTAAGGCACCTATCACCAACCCACTTATCATGCCAAAACTTTATTCTACACCCATTTCCAACCTTTATCTGAAACTGCACCAAATAGAACTCCTCAAGAGGTTGATTATGACCTGCAATGGCAAGAACATCTTTCCAAATTATAGAGTATCTAGATGATGAGTTCACAGGTGGGATCCAATTATTCTCTTCAATCATGTACTTGCTGCACAACAATCTTCTCCATAGAGCATTTACTTCACATCCAAATTTCCACCACCATTTAAACAATAAGCTTGTATTGACATCCTTAATTCTCTTATTCCCCAAACCACCCTGATTCATATTTTTGGTTACTTCAACCCATTTCACCAGATGAACATTCATTTTTAAACCATTCTCACCCCACAAGAAAAAAGCTTCAAGCCTTTCAATCTCTCTAACCACTCCAGAAGGCATTTTGAACATAGAGAGATAGTAAGTTGGAAGGCTAGATAACACGGACTTAATTAAAGTTAATCTACCTGCAAAGGAAATGAGCCTTCTCTTCCACCCAGTCAACCTAGATCTTATTTTATCCAAAACTGGCTTCCAAGTTGATTTCCTTCTTGGATTAGCACCTAAGGGAAGACCCAAAAATTTGAGTGGTAGGCCATGAACCTTGCAATTTAGAGTATCAGCGAAAGAAACCAAGGTTTCCACGTCTACACCAACTCCACACACCACACTCTTGTGGAAATTAATTCTCATGCCAGACAGAATTTCAAAACAGCGCAGGATCCTCTCTGTGTGCACTAATGAATAGTCGCACCACAAATCTTATGTGAGAAGTAAGTGTGTTGAGAAAATTATCGGGTGTAAGTAGAAGCACCGCAACATATATATATTCTCACATTGAAATGATCCGTTTCCATTGCTTCTTATTTTTGTTTTATTTCCAAGAAATAAAATTATTCTGTTAAATCTACTTGAAAATATTGTCACATTAGGCCCAATAATATAATAGTGAGAGAAAGTATTTTATAAAACACAAGAAAAATGATATATAAGTCCACTTTATAGATCTATTTTTTACACTCAGTAATGTATCAATAATAAAAAAAAAATAGAATAAATGAGAGAATGAGTTAACTTAGATATTTTAATAGAGTGCCACATCATTAGGTCTAAAAAGTATGCACAATTGTTTGACCTAAATAGCAATACTCCTTATACAATAGGTATATCACATCATTTTAGCTCCAAATACTGTAACGATTAAAGTTTTAAAGACAAAAATTTAAGGACAAAATTAGATTTTAGGAACAAATATTTTTATTGCCACTAGTGTCATTATTATATTTTTAGTGACGAAATTGGACATTCAGTGATAAATTACTTTACTTTGGGGCCAAATTTTTTATCTCAAAAAATAAATCCTTTTTGGATCAAATTATTTTGCCGATAAAAGTGTATTTATTAGCACTATAGCTACTTCGCTGATGTGGATTCCAAAATGACTCCTTACAAATCTAAGAATATCTTATTTGATTTGGAACAATCATGCATTGCTTTCTTTGATCTAATTATCAGGTTAGTGATTACATTTTTTATGACATAATTTTGCATGCCGTGAATATATGAATCAACGATTTATATGGGAGTATGCCGTTACTGACATGCATTAATAGCTTGCACACACAAAAAAAAAAAGTCAGGATACATACATTAACTACGATATTCATTTGAAGCATGCCATAAATAGTTAATTTTATTGTAATGTTAAGGAGGATGATTGAGGTTGGATCGAACCCTCGACATAGTATCTTTGCCTCCGTATCTTTATTCTCTTGTTCCAATACAATTTTAATTATTAGAATTAAAAATGCCTCGAGATTTATGGATAGAGAAATTTGAGGACAGAATGTTGCGGGAAAATAAAATCATTTGCCCCAAGCTTTCAAGAGCAAACATAGCAAGAAAACGTGAGGCCTCATCACCAACTTCCTTGTGTTCCAATCATCTTGCTGAAGAACATATCTTTCCGTTACATCGGACCAATCAAATGGTGTGTTTTGTTCACACACTTTAAAAGCCTCAACAAAATCATACTTGTTATCAAATTCACGTAAGAAATTTCTTAGTTTCCAAAATAACATTTCAACTAGCAAAGTGATTAACACAAACGTCAGAGTTGCTTCAAAATATATTCATTGCAACGCATATATCACACTTTTCTTTGAAACTTCTCACATAAGACTACAAGAGTCCATTTCCATCTCCTAACCATTCAATATGGGAGATAAAGAAAGATCAAGAGAGTTATAATTGAAACAGAGAGAGAGGATACTTGACAAAACTTCATTATTATTAAATTATAGGAAAACAGTTGTAAGGAAATCATCCATAAGTAACCAATTAATTTAAGGTATATTAAATCATATCTATTTAAATTTTTTAAAACAATAGATTAACGAGTTCTATTCTCTGCTTATTTCTCTAGTTATTGGGCCACCAGAACTGAGCTTGAAGGTGGTCCACCACCTTCTTGTCCACTTGGAATGCCTTGGCAAGAACATCATCAGAAATCTTTGGGTTTGACCCAAACACCGCATTAGCAACGGTAATAACACCAGGGTTTTGGCTACGTAGACCAGCAATAGCCACTGCATTTGTCTTTCCTTGATTGAACTGGAAGTGAATGAGACCTTCTGGGAATACAAAAACATCTCCTGGATAAAGCACCTTGGTGAAGAGGCGGTTTTCTGGATTGGAGGTTACGAAGCCGACATAAAGGGTACCCTCCAAGACCACGATAACCTCAGTTGCGCGAGGGTGCGTGTGAGGTGGGTTGAGACCGTAAGGTGCAAAGTCAATACGAGCTAAGGAGATACCAAGAGTATTGAGGCCTAGTATTTGCATAACATTTACAGGAGTGACTGTTGACCCAACTGGGTTCGATATTTTTTGTGGAGTAAGAAGACCAGAAAAAAAAAAGTCCTTAGCTTTGGCGAGCTTTGGGTCCTTGCAAACCTTGCCATTCACAAACACTGCATGCAAAGGAAATGGTGTTGTGCGTAAGTAAGGATTGGGAGAAATGATATAATAATACAAACTAGACACAAACGTAAAGTAATATTTTTTTAGTTTAATTTTTTTCAGTGAGGTATAATTTTTTATTCCAAAAGTACTCCCAATTCTGCAAATATTGACAGCATCAACCATAAAGATTACTTTAGTGCACATTAATATACTTTGTCGATGGTCTTGTGGCCTAGTGGCATGGGTGTAACATTTAGGTGCTTGCAAGAATGAGATTACGGGTTCAATTTCTGTAAAGTGTTAATCTAATAACTATCAGTTGACTTTCATTGATTAAAAAAAAAAATGCACAGTTTACACTTTGGGGATGAGATTGAAATAATTAAAATGTTAGAAACTAGAATGACAAAAAATATACTTCCTCTTGCTACCAAAAGTACAAATAATCATTGAATAAATTACTTCAAAATGAAAAGCCCACATGGATTATACTTCCATGAAGAAGCTGAAATTTTAATTATCATCAAAATGGAATCAATAAAGTTTTGTCATTAAATTCAAATTTCAAAGTTTGGAAAGCACAAATATGGAAGATAGAGATGAGAGTATACCAGCAGATTTGGTGTCATTGACAGCAACACAGAAGTCTTGTAGAGGACTAGGGTCAGAAGCAAACACAAATGTGGAGGCCAAGGCCATGATGGCTATGGTTACAAGAAAAAAGTGAGTGGCCATCTTTATCATATCAAGAAGCAATAAGCACTTGTTGTTTGAAACAAATTGGAATGTTTATGCCTAATTGCTTGAAGGAGGTGATAGATCTAGCATGGAAAGCATGTCTATTTATAGATATAGATAGATATATAAGAGTAGTTGAATTTGTCATTATAAATTTTACAATAATATAATAATTCTTTTTTTTAGATAGGGTCAATAATCAATTAAGACTTACCAAGTCTTAAATGGGTTAAGTGTTTTCCTCATTCGTCTTTCAAGGATGAATGGTTCTTCAACAACTACACACGTTTCTAATTTCTTCGTCTTACAAAATTATTCTTAATTATAATTTGAGTTTTATTTGAAGGACCTTGAATATACTGTCACATTAGACACAATAATGTAATAGATGACATGACATGCTGAGTCAAGAGATATTTTGTAGATCAATAACCCAATCAATCTACAGTTAAAAGTAAAAAAATAAAATAATATTCAGTTATAGGGCATTATGCAAGGGCGCATGGGCAATAATCTTGAAGAAGGAAAAAAAAAACTATTAGCTCAGCATAATTTTTTAGTCAAGTTCAAAATTAGAGATATTTAAATGTTGTTCCATTCTACCTTCCTGTCTATGTCTACATATTTTACATTAGATTTTATAAATCAATTTATTATAATATTTCTTGAAGAAAGTCAAATATTAAAAATTTACAATAGTTAGGTGTTCTGTAGGTGATTGGATCCAACAAAACAAAAATGACTTATATACCTCAATTGTGTGCATATAATAAAAAAATTATAATTCAGCAATATTGGTAAATGCGTTACAATAAAAAAAAATGCTTTATTTGATGCAGCTTATTGAATGTTAAAAATTAATAATTAAAAACTAGAAGTTAATGAGTTATAAGCAAAAATTGTACTACCTAATGAGCTATAGGAAGAAATTTTACTAAATAATTTGGCACATGTTCCCAAAATAAAATATTTATAAAAAAAAATTTGTAAGGAACTCATTTAAGTTGCACCAAATAATCTCAATATGTATTTTGCAGCATAACATGGACATGAGAAAAAAATACTTTTATTTATATATTTTAATGTATTTTTCACGTACAAATTAATTTTGCAGGCAAACGTAGCCATTTAACTAAAAAAGTCATATTTTTTTTAAAAAAAATTATCTTTAGTTTTTTTTTTTAATTTTGTATGAAATTTTTTTATGTTTATCTAGTGTAGAAGAATATGAAGGAAAAAGAAAAAAAAAAAAACTAATTTTGTTTGTTTGTTTGTTGTTTTTTTTTATTTATTTTTTGCCTTTAATAAACTTTTTATTTTTGTTACTTTTATCCAACCTAAAAGCCTAAAACTTTTTGAATTTAAACAATCACCAAAACAATTAATAAAAAAGCTAATAAAAACCATTCCCAAACACCAACTATCATATATGTATTACTAAGAGCATCTCCAATGCACTAGGCATATAATACTTGTTAGCTAA